AGAGATTTTTCTAAACTCTAAAAATTTCGCAGGAACTTCCCTTGAAAGATGATTTTTTCAGGTTAACGAACACGAAAACTTAGACCAGACAGAAGAACAAGAATTTGATTGGAGCTACGGTGAGAATCTCTTCCACTCACTAGTTTATTTAATTTTTGAATAGATCATTCAAATTTATAGACCTTTCGATTAACATGAGTCTGACGATGAATAATTTTCTGTTGCTTTGAATGCCCAACTGCAATTTGTTCATTTGCTCTGGGAGCATTAAAACTTAGCAAGTAAAGTGATTGAAAATATCAGTATTTGCCTCAGTATAGATATCAAACAATCATGTTAGCCGTAAAGTTGCTTCATTATTCACAGTTGACAGAAAGAATCGTATAATTTTTAGTGGATGATTCGGAACAGTATTATGGATGGATATGTCAAGGAGATGAAGATGGATACGCTTATTATACAGATCCAGACGGAATTGTAAGTTTTTCGAGGATTATTTGCACTGTTCACCTACTACTGCATAGTTTTGATCTTCATTGTTCATTCATCTCAAAGTGTTTTCCTCAACTTTACTTATTCGTAAAATTTGACTCTGTATCATTATTATCACGTTCCTTCATTGTTAATTTACTCTTCACCTGAAATATTTCTTCTGATATTCGTTCATATTTCACACGTATCGACCATTATTTGGAAACTATATCACTTGCTGAAAATAACTGAAGTGAATTGATTTTTGTCTTGAACCGCGGCATTGTGATATTTTAAGCTGCGCGGAAATTGTTTCGTTTTCGTACCATTCAATTTTTTTTTGTTTGAATTTGTGATCATTTCAAAATGTTTCAAAATTATTCCCAAAGGATCAGAATTCATTGCTTCTTCTTCACCGCGTTATTAGCGTTACCCAACTGTCTCGAATTCTATCTGAATGAAAATATAATATAATGGATGCGGAAATGAAATTTTGGCTTCACCAATGGTTCAGTCTCCATTTGTAATCGTTTCATTCAATTTTATTTCATTTCGGTTCATTCGTTTTCATTTATTTAATTGTCTGCATTCTATTCTTCCGGATCAATTTAGTTAATTTCATTTAGTTTTGCGCAGACGTGGTGCTTTAAATTGAATATTTTTGCTGCATTTAGGAGAAATTACAAGCTCACAATCAGCGAATTTGTGGTGCTTATACCAATTGCGCAGAGTGGAATTGATTTCACACCATATAATTTGACGACGATGCTCGATTCATGCATTTCCAAAAAATTATAGCGATGCCATATATTATTTTATCTTTGATATCAAATAAATTTCAAGTTATCGATATCCTTGAAACCATTCTTGCTGAAAATCTTCTTCATCTGTCTTCGTTCGAATGATGAATGTTTTTCATTTTTTGCGTTCATTCCATATGTTATTTTCGCGTTTAATTTTCCATTTGTTTCCGTGGTTACCCATTCTACTAAGCAACAATCAACACCAAGAGCACGGCTTGTCGAACAGACAGTCTACTTAACTCTTTAAAATTCATTGTTATTATTACTGATGTTATCCGCAATTCCAACGACGCTTTTGCAGTCACATTCTCGGACTCGTTTTGAATCGATGCAAATGCAAATCATTTCGAACAGACAGTCTACTTAACTCTTTAAAATTCATTGTTATTATTACTGTTATTATCCGCAATTCCAACGACGCTTTTGCAGTCACATTCTCGGACTCGTTTTGAATCGATGCAAATGCAAATTATTGCCTTCAATGTTTGCACCTCTCCAAAAAATGATTAATTTTATGATACAAACACTATCAGAGGACTGTTCGTTTGACGTTTCTCTGTTCTCTCTATCCGCTTTTCATGAACAAACGAAGCTTCTCGTATGAGACGTATCACTAATATCCACTTATAGTCAGTCTACTCTTCCCAGCAAGCTGCTGTATGCGTATGAATTTGGTTGGAAACGGAAAGTTGTATTATCGGATTTTGTTTCTGTTTGTTTATGAATCTGTGGTGGCCTAACATTTTTTGTTGAATATGTGTGAATGAGTGAATGATCAAATGGAATATTTGCATTGTCATGCAATTTTATCAATAGCAGAAAAAATTGCCGTGTTTTGAATCATGAGAACAATTGCTTCGCATTAATGAATTGTTGTTTTACAATTTATTTTTTTTTGGGGGGGGGGGGGTGAAAANGGGGGGGGGGGGAGGATTGAAAACAGATTTCATTGTTAAGCACTGCAAATGCGAACTGACTTCTGTGCAAATTGATTTTTGAATTTGTTGAATCGGTACGCACAAAACGGTGATAGTAGCGTTTTTTATGCATCGTATATTAATTTTACGATGAAAATATGATTCGAGAGGATGGATGCTGAGAATTTATTCTGAACTATAGTAAAATTTATTGAATTGAATTTCGACGTCATCAAGGTGCTTGTATGAAATTTTGTGATTCTTCTGTAAGAAACATTCTTCTCATGCATGAATTCTCTAATGATTGTAAGCAATAAATCCAAATCAATTGATGCTTCAGCAATGGCAGTTCTTTTGAATGGTTTTGCGATTTCTGTGCAAAGTTTCGGCGTTTACTTGTTGTTGTACCTGACATCAGATGCCATGAGCATGAGCACTGAATCATTCAGTCTTCCATCATGCTAAACTTTGCGCTATAATAATGTCACATTACTGAATCTTTTTCTCTTTCCATGTTAATTGCATACAAAATTATTATTTGTGCAGTTTTGATTCATATAATACAACATCATGATAATGCATTTGGCGACCATTTGAATGGGCTTTTGCAATTAGTGTGTTCAGTGTGTTCAACTGAAATTTACGTTTTGTAATTGCATTTGCAGAGGGCATTTCTGTTTGTTTTTTGTTTAAGATCCCATGCAATGAGTCAATGATACAATCTGAATATTGCCGAAAGTTTTCAGTGAAATTGAAAGTGCTCAGCTTTGGAATTCTCTAGCTTGTTTGTCCGGTAATTTTTACGTTTCTGATGACAGAAGAATTTGTTCCGTTAGAATCCTTACCTTATTAATAAGTAATGTTCATCAATTTCATTCCGTTCTTTTCTTTATGAATAAGTGATGAATACTTTTGTCAGTGATCAGTAAGGATGAATGTATGAAATCGCCTGACATTATTTTTTAAAGAAAAAGCCAGTATTGATTTTGAGTATTGGTCTTTTAACAATTCTCGATGTGGTCTTTTTTCATATTAGTCTATTCAGTCTGTCTCCAATTACATTCTGTTTTAATGTACTCGCTCAGTCAAGTGAAAAAAGTGCATTGCGCCTCACAAAACAAGATGCTTTTTTAAAATTACTGAATATCATCGTGATATATGAAGAGGTTAACTGCTAAAATATCAAAATTGTATCCTCTCTGAGGCACGTTTACATTGACTCATAGTAGCGCTGAATGGTGATCGGATGAGGAAATAAGAGCGAAAAAATTACTTCGATAGTAATTTCATCGTTGGTAATGTGTTATTATTGTCAGAATTGTCATGCAGTTTACTATTGAAAATTGTCTAACTTATGATGTTAAGTTTAATATTGCTCTTATGATTACACTGCAATGCTGACAGGATTAATAGTATTTGGAATAGCGCAAATAGCACACTTAGCAACATTAATGCACAATAATGTGATACCACCACATCAGTTTTGGTCTATCCACATTTGACACGTGGAATCATCTCCAATCGACAAAAACCTTTAATCATNCCTGATATTTTCATATGATGAATGGAAATTTTTGATTTATCTATCATATGTAAGTAGAGCTCATTCCATGGTTGGCTTATGATTTAGAAGGTTTGTAGAGTTAGTCGGGGTGTGCGTCATGATGCATGGTTTAATATGATCACTGTTTGGTGAATCTGATTCACCAGTGAGAATGGAACAAATCCGTTCGAAATGTGAATTGTTGAGTTTCAGTTGTTTTGTTTGAGGAGGAGAATAAGAGTTCGAAGTTGGTGGTTTACGACTGGAAACCGCCAATTTCGAGCATATTTTTTTGGCAAAATTTTTGATCTACATCGAGATCATATTGCATCTACTTCTCCATATTAGAACAGCAACTGTTTTTCCTTGTACAACAAGCGATTTCCATATGGCATTTTTCTCATGCTTGAAGAAAGAAGTAATAAAGTGACGAAATATGATGATCAAACAGCACTCCCATCATAAACATGAACATTAAGTATCAAGTATGGCATTTACATAAATTCAAAACTGTCCGAATGCATTTAACGTCACTCAAGAATGCTTCTACAATCATCTTTATATTCAGCTCTATTCGGTGGACCAAAGTGGTTTCTGGTACTTTCAAGACGAAACCGATGCTGAATTTCAACCGTGCCAGGAGACTGTGGTTAGTATAGCGATGAAGATGTATCCGTTGAACGCTCACGGTCAGCCGGTTTTGCCGATAAACGCACATGGCGAGAAAATCTTCCCGACTGACGCCAATCATATGCCGATATTTCCGATCGATCACAGCACCCAACTGCCGACGTTTCCGGTTGATGATTATGGACAGCCGGTGTTCCCGACTGGAACGGACGGACGACCGATAGTGCCGGTTGATGGGAACGGTGCGTGTTTCTTTTTCTTCAGTCATTTGAGCGGGTGCATTGAGTCCTTAATGAATGATGGGTTGGTTAATTGGGCACGTTTATTCNCTTAATCGCTTTCTAAAGTTGCCCGTAATTTGCTGAATATTCACAGATGTGAAGATCAGAGTCATATCTTGATTCAGGCGTTCCGGTATTACCACGCGACGCAACTGGTAAACCAGTGATACCGTACGACGATCATGGCATGCCGCTTATTCATCTGGCCAGTGACGGTACGAACTTGGCAATCTTTAAAGCTAACATTGTTTTAAATTTTTGTTATTGTTTCAGTCAATTCTCCCTCTCTAATGCTCCCACTTAATGCTGATCGTACGAGAATATTCTTATTCTGTGGAAATTTCTCTTCAAAGCATCGTGACAGCTTAGTTCAACAGTGTGTTTTTTGTTGTTTGGTGCTTGATTCATGGTTGATTCTATTCGAAACCATATATCTGTTGCAGCTGTTCGCAGGGTTTATTTTTTGTTTTGTTTTGTTTCATCGCAAGGGTATTTGAAGAGTTATCGCAATGCGATTAATATCTTTATACCATAGAAACTGGTCTTCATAGCGAGTACAATTGTATGGTTAAGTTAAATGGCCTCTATAGGTGTTCAAGAGGTTTGAAATGGAGTTTCATACGAACTGTTGGTGATAACGCTTTGTTCAGTTGACTTATGAACGTTATCATTGACGGTTCTTTCATCAAATAATAAACTTATATGAGAGGTCACATACAACGACTGACGCATTCACACAAACAAATTCATCACATATCATGCTATACGTACCTATCGTATTGGTTATTCGTACGCTTGGATCTGATACGACGTTTCATTTGTGATTGGGAGTTCAACAGTGCTTTATTGACTGCGCACAGGTAGTGTGAGCACATATTTACAGAAGACAGCTATAATTGATGGAAGTTCTCTCAATTCCAGGCATAACACCACTCACCGAAGAGGAATATCAGTATTCGTTGCAGTGGCATGATTACTATGGAAGTTACAATCAGTATTACGCACTCGTTCATAATCCTATCCAGCCGCAGCAGGTCGTCCAAATAGCTCTTTTCTTTTGCGCAAAATTTCATCTCGAAAGATAGATATTATGTTAATATTCAAGAACTGAAATCTATCCTTGACGTGAATTCGATGTAGTGATAAATTGTTGAAATAGGTGGTTTCGGTCGGTGGCGTTAATGATTTCGATTGTAGGTGGCATTTGGTGTTCCCAGCCTAGCGATGGGCGTTAACACCTTGGAGCAAGCACCTGAGAGGAGTCTGAAATTTTTGAAAAAGGTTTGTATCAGCTTAGCCATCTGTCTGTCTACGATTACGAGTGAAAATGATTCACTCGAATCGTTGTGTCCGAAAAATTGGCTTCTCTGAAGTTGGAGAAGTTCAGTTTACAGTCATTTTACAGATTTCGCAGAAGTTTACAGTCTATCTCTACCATTTTGAGAAGTTTACGATTGCTTACAGATTAGAAAAGTGAAGAGCATCTGTTGCGGTGAGTTGAAGTTCATTTCATGCTCACTTCTGAGTTTGACTGGACTCATATCGCAGAACTGAACTGCCGAAGACGGACAAAGTTCCTAATCGCAAAGAAATCGCTCTTCATCTAATTTTAGGTCAGACCCGAAGATATCGATCTACCACTGACTGCACTCCCTCCGCAACCGTCCGATGCTGTGCCCATCTCGATGACTCCAGATTGCGCAAAACCGCAACCCGAACCTCCACTCGCCGAAGAAGTTGAGCAACAGAAAGCCGCTGAAGAACTGAAAGCGAAAACGAAACGTTTAATGGAAATGCAACTTCGATTCACTCGAAAAACTCCAGGATTCGGTATCGCTGCCAAAACAAATACGACTGACTCAGTTGGAAAGAAGAAATCTGAAGAATCGAAGACTGTTGGTGAAAAGGATAGTAATGAAAACGATTCGGGTGATAAGACAGCAAATGACAGTATGGATGAATCATTGAGAAGTGTTGAGCTGAACGGTAATGCCTACGATATGATGACTGCAAATGAATCAGTTGCCGACAACACAGAAGCATCCACAACTCCGAAAGCTGCCTCTCCAGAGACCGTTCCTGCCCCGAACGATGTACGATCGACCACTTCGCCTGGAGATACAAACCATCCTTCTATGGAATTAGACACTCAGAACGAGGAATCTAATGAAACAACGACAACGTTGGAACCAGCACTTAATCATGATGATAATCAAGCCATCTCCGTGGAAGAAAAGTCTGCTCAAATGGTGGAAACGAACCAGTCTAGTTTAAATGAGAATGAGAATGAAGATTCGGGAAGGCCGACGATTTCGAACGGCAAAGAGTCAGCAGCTGTTGATAATGAGGCAGTTTTATTTGTTGAAACTTCAGAAGCTGATCCGAAGAAATTATCACAACCTAAATCATTACCCGCAAGTTCCAAGCCAGAGTCATTACCCGCATCTCAGAACATACCATCATTGTCGAAACCTTCCAATGAAGAACGTTCAGTCTCAAAAGCGAAATCAGATCCACTTGGTGATATATTGAATGAGGTTTGTTAATGTTTTCAAGCTCATTCATCTCATTCATTTGTTCTCTTTTCTCTTTATTTTCTAACATTATAACTCTGTTTTGTGTATTTTTGCGCACAAAAATTCTATGATAACAAAGCGTAATATTGATCGTGTCGGCCGAAGTGTGAGTCTGATTTCGAGGTTCCGTTTTCAGTATCCGATCTCCACTCGTTCGAATAGTTCACTTTCGAATGTTTCTCAAAATGAACGTCAGCATGGTCAAATATCATCACATCGTCCTGCTGCTGCATCGTCTCACAGTCGCCAAGAGCCATCACGCGATCAAGAGCCACCACAATCACAACATTCGAAAGAAAGCAATAATCACCAGTAAATTGCTATCAATCATGTTTATGTCAAGAATTTAAAATTAAATCCGACGTTTTCTCATGGAATATTCGAATGAAATACTGAAATTGTAATGTTTTCATTTGACGTTTCTTTCTGATATGTAGCCGAACTCAGCAAAATCCGATACATATTGATGATTTCGTCTGTAATTGTGAATTTGTCTCATCAAAAAATTTCACAACAATGCCATATAGGTACGATCACGAATCGCGAAATTCACGGAGTCGTTCATCCACCTATCCTCGATATCTGTACGAGTCACCGTCTCCTGAAATACATCATTCAAGCTATCAATCACCCAAACAACAAGAACCCGCCAGTAGTCGATCGCCAAATAGACCGTACAGCGGCTCGAAAAGTCCGAATCGTTCTGTTCGAGAATCTCGAACTCGCCATCATTCAAAACACGAGCGATCATCAAGTCGCACGCAACGACATGTTCGTCGTGAAAAGTCATCACGAAAACGTAGCAGGTGACAAAATTTATCTTATGATTGTGTTTATGTTTGCAGCAGCCAGTGTTGATTCAATGCGTCTGAACCGTATGATGCAATAATGCGCATAGCATTCAAATTCAGTCAGTTATAAAGGTTCAGGAATACAACACTGCTTATAGTAATGAACTAGGGTATGTCTAATAAACTGTAATAGTTTGGTTGTGAATGATGTGTAGGAAATGTTAACTTGTGCATTTGGTTGTTGGTTTGCAAAATATTTGGACATTGAAATCCTTCGAAATCCATAGCATCGCAGTTGTTCCAATTTTCTGATCCGCTTATGCGAAAACAAGCACACTATCAGGT